TTTTTTTTTTTTAAAATGTCTCCTCTTCTCTACTACTTATCGGCCAGATAGAGCTTCGAAAGTACCTCCAAAAAATTCCGGCGAGAAAATGCCGTCGACCGCGGCCGGTCAAGGTCCGACCGGCCTCACTTTTTCGGCCAGGCCAATGTTGGCCGCCTTAAACGGCGGGCGAGATTTTACATGGCAGAAAAGTCCGGCCGGCAGAACCCTGACCGGCCGCGGTCGGTGGTCGGCAGGCCGCCATGTTTTTTTTTTCAAATTTTTAATTTAAATCATATAAGTATAATTAGTATAAATTATATTAGTATAAATTAGAAATGATACTAGTTTGAAAAAAAAAAAATTCGTATAAATTATTATGTTGTTTATTATAATTGATTATATTATAAATTAGAATTTACTACTATTATGCTTTTTTTTCCAAAATTTACTACTATTATATTAGAAGTTATAAATTATTGTATTTTATAGTAGAATTGATTGTCTTATGAAGTAATATGTAGTACTACTATGTTAGAAGTTAGAAATTATTATGGTATAGATTAGAATTGATTGTTTTATAAATTAGAATTTATTACTAATTTGTTAGAAGTTCGAAATTATTGTGTTACATATTAGAATTGATTATCTTATAAATTAAAATTTATTACTATTATTTCAGTAGGTAGAAATTATTGTGTTATGTATTAGAATTGATTATCTTATAAATTAAAATTTATTACTATTAAAATTTATTTCAGTAGATAATCAATTATAACTTATAACATATTAATAGTAATTTACTATTATTATGCTATAAGTTATAATTGATTATCTTGTAAAATTATTAACATACATCGTAATATATTGCAGGTGAAAGTTGAAGATTTTGGAGGATTGTGATTACAGATCTTATTTTACTACAGATGACTTATTTGATAGTTGTAAAGAAGCTATCGAGAGGGCAAAAAAATTGCAGTTGTATGTTGTTTTGAATTGATCATCGCGAAACACAAAAAAGAAGGAAAGCAGAGAGTTTTGAGGTGTCATCGAGGGGAACGTAACAGAGGCCACAGCGAAAGACGAGCGAGGCGGGGTCATATTTACTTGTTGCTTTTTTATCTGTTATTGCTTCAGCATGTTAATAATTATTGTTATCATTAGCCAGACATGTTAAACTGCATCAGATATGGGATCATGTATTTTGATATTTCTCATTCTTGGTTTATGAGTTGATTGTTTGGGATACGTTTCGAGATTATCGTGAGGTATGTTTACTGACCTGGTTTAAATTGATAATCGGGGTTGGTTGATTCCCATTTGCTTAAGTTTGAACTTAAGCCGATGAATTGGGACAAGTGAGTAATGCCAGTTAAATATATTTTTCATTTAATTTGCGAAAAATAAATTCTGATTTCCGAAAAATACTCGGTATTTTTCTTATAAAATAACGGGGAGTTACAGAATTTTATTGTCTTTTATCTTGAATGTTGTGCAATGTTATTTGCTTGATGACAAGCAAAATGCTAAATGTGGGGAGTTGTTTTGTATGTTTTCTTATTATTTTGAGTATTCGTTTGAGTGCATATGAGCTTATATCATAGATTTTTCGGTTCATTAAGTTTTTTGTATTCGTTTTGTGTTTTCTTTGAATTATTTGCATGTATTGTATATTTTTCCTCTGTTTTTTTATTTTATTTTATTTTTGTAGAAAAGTATAATTCGGATAATTTTGCACAACAAAGTCTGGCGTCACCTGAGCATTGCCCGAACAACAGCGGAGCGACATCCGAGCAAGTACCGAGCAACGCCCATGTTTTGCGCGCGACGAGCCTACCCTAGTGTTGAATGCACTTGGATGAGTTTTTTACCGCATTTCGAACCCGTTTAAATACCAACTCAGTTAGGGGGACCATTTCGAAGGCCTCCAAATACCATAAACTTCTTGTGAATAGATTCTCTTAGAAATTCCTTTGTTTATGCATGGATTCTTGGGTTACATTGTGCTGGGACGCATTATTGTAAAATCTTCTATCTGTTGCAAGTTTTTATTTTTCGAATTATTATTGTTGACTGATGTGGATTTCATTCATTCTATTAAACATGAATTTGAATCCAAGCATGAGGTAATTAACTCATTCACCTATGTAATGATTTCAATTCTCGTCTTGAAATTGTATTGAATGTGTGGTGTTCATACATGTTCCAATTGTTTGAATATCATGCATGAATAGTTGTTTGATCACCATCTAGTCTAGATTGATAACCTAGAAACGAAAGAGGATAGCGTATCCGACAATAATTCGAATGGACTGGACATGTTCATAATTGTATGGTCTATGGGTTTATTGACTGAAATACATGTTTGTCTGAAGATAATTTACCTAAATCTACCGTGATTACAATGTTTAGGATCTTGTTGTCTTTTCGTATGTGATCGATACTAATTTTAAATTTCGAACCACCTTTCTCGAGAGATCGACCCGAGGTGAGAATTAATTCTGCAATCTAGTAAAAATATTAATTTGCTGCAATAAGTAACTCCACCAAACTACTACATAACCACAACCGCAATTGGAGGAATAATGATCTACTACCCACCCTACAGCACCATTTAATGCACACCCTCTCTTCTAGAGTACAAAGAATACAAATACACACACCTATCAACAAGACAACTAACACAACCACAATAGAATAACATACACCCCCTACACCGTGGCCAAGGCTAAAAAAAACACCATCTACCAATTCATTGCCACCACCATCTTCCTGGCGTCACTTACACTTGCCCGATCACAACCACCGGCTGCCGCCACAATTCAAGTGGTAACACTGCAGGCGGCACCTCCTCTGGGACCCGATTGCCTTGAACCTCTAGCCAACTTGGCCGACTGCCTTACCTACGTGGAGGAAGGGAGCAGCTTGACTCAACCAGAATCCCCTTGTTGCCCTGAGATATTGCACTTGATCAACACCAATCCGATTTGTTTGTGTAAGCTTCTTGCTAACTCCACCGAATTCGGGCTCTCGGACGTCAATGTAACTAGAGCCCTCGTGTTGCCTTCTACTTGCAAAATCAATGCTACTTCGCCTACCGCTTGTCAAGGTATGATTACGCAATAACCAAATAACACTATAATAATCTGCATGGACAAAAAAAAAAACTATAAGAAATGAGATAGATAATCCAAAAAAACTTAAATGTATTTGCAATTAGAAGCGATCTTGGCGTAATAAAGATTATAACATAGTTATATTGAATTTCAATTCATCAAGGTTGTCAAATATCAAATTAGTTGTAATTAGTCCGTACGTATTTATACTCAACAGCTGTTGGAATCCCAATAACAGTTGAAACACTACCGGAAGCTTCAGAAGGTACATTCTTTTCTCTCCAACCCACCAAATGAATAATATAAAATAAAATACAAAAGAAAATATAAGATAAGAAAATGAAACCAATGTTTTGTTTCCTTATTATATATATATATATATATATATATATATATATATATATATATTTGTTTTAATTTTAAAAATGTTGATTGTGTTAGGTTTGAATGAAATTTTAATTTTGCATTAAAATAATATTTAAAATACACTTATTAAAATTGATTTGATGTAAAATTATGAGACATGTGATTTGAATTGATTAATAGTTAAAATCATGTTAGCATATAAAACGTGAATTAAAGTTGATGTGGTGTATAGTGATAATTGGTTGATAATATTTAATTATTGATAAAATTGATAGTAGATTTGAGGTGAAGTTGAGACATAGATTTGAATCGAAATTATTATTATTCTTTTTTTACAAAAAAAAAAATTATAAACAAGCAAGCGTTTGACTACTTTTTTTTACATGTATATCAGCAGCAAAGCCATCACTTGGATTAGCATTTACCCGACAGCTCTTCGTGGGATCAGCAATTGTATTGTTCACATATTTCCTTTAACTTATACTTATGTAATCCATATTTGAATTGATATTTTGAGTTTCCATTCATCTGTTGTAGCAAAAAGTTTTATATAAAGTTACTATGAATTAAAAAATATATATATATTCACAACATGCAATTGACACTCTACACACTTCATTACATCTTATTTTCCCCAAATGAAAATATAGCACAAGAAACTATATTTCATTGTGCTAATCTTACAAGGATATTTCAAAATTTGAGAAAAAAAACAACACTATCCACATGTACAATGTATGATTCTGGAAGTGGTTGTACTTCTTTGTAATTAAGCACAATTTCGAGGGCATTTTTTTGCAATTATCCAGAATCTAATGTAATTAGATCATACAAATACAAGCGTAGTAGAAACTTACCGGACATGGAAACGCTGACATGTATATACCATGGTGGCTTCTAGGAGAAAATCACAAATACAAAATAATCGTCCAGGTACGGTAGAAAAGAAACTGTATCAGCCAACTCATATATTTTCCTCAGAATCCAAAAACTCCAATATAAAATCTGATCAGGTCATACTTCGATATACACAACTAACCCAATAAAACTAAAACAATAAAGCTGTTAAAATTAAGAAACTGCATCCCCCTGCTCTACGCTAAGAGCATCTCCAATTGTGAGAATAGATTGCACTCTAAATTGATGGCCTTCTGTCCACGTAGATTGAATGGAAGGGCATATTCCTAAATAACTCTTCAGCAGTCGTTTGTGTGTTTTTTTTTTTCTTTTTGTTGTTCTAAAAAAATGTCACAAAATACTATAAATGATACTTGTACTGAATCATAGCTTCGTTGGATCAACACTAATATTTATTTTTTTAAGAGCTACCACCCAACATCCAAACTGAAATTATTATTGTATCGGTATTTGTTTTAAGAGTATCCTTTATTCTTGATATTATTTTTGTACCAGTATTTCTTTTTTAAGAGTATCATTTATTCTGGTATTTATTTTTTGAAGAGCTACCACCCACCGTCCAAACTGATATTCATTAGGTACTTTTGTATCGGTATTAATTTTAGAAGTGTTTTGTTCATAAGTAACTCTCCTATGGTAAATGTCTATACACTTGAATGTCTGTACATGTGTGTTTTTGAAAAAAAAAAATATAATCGTTCTGAAATATAATAATACGAAAAAAAATTAGTCTGTTCGGTTTCGTTCGATGGTGTTCAATCTCATAGTCATTAATATGTAATCCACATAACATTATCATGTACTCTCAGCACAAACATTTTCAATGATTTTTTTTAATCAAAATAAATCAAATAATAGATTTATTTGACCGGTTAACTGAATTATACAAAATAATTGAAATAATTTGTTATTTATATCATAAAAATGTATTTGATATTTTAACATTTATAATAATTTTTTAATGGAAAGATATAATAATAAAATATTAAAACTAATAATGTGCGTTCGCACAAACAATAATATGCAGTTCATATAACATTATTGTGCAATCTATCGATCGACTATTTTTATACACATTTCAATTTTATTAATTTTAGTAATGTGATTTCATTTAACCCTATTTTTTATTTATAAATTTATTTATATAGTAAAAATATATGTAGTAATTTAAATTTTTTAATACTTTATATAATTGTTTATTGAAAAAATAAGTGCATTTTTTTAAAAAATAATATATGAAAAATATTGAATTCGATGATGCGCATTCTAACATACACTAATGTTCACTTAGTCAACATTATTGCAGTATATAGAAGATGTATTTTTACGTATGTTACAATATTAGGATTTTCTTATATATACATATTTATTATCTATTTATAAAATAAAAAGAAGAACTTTTTATACAGTTTCGCGGGTTTTGTTATTTTGTTTGTTTTTTTTTTTTTTT